CTGTGTTACAAAGAACCGCAGAGGGCACTCTGGGGGAGGGGCACAAAAACTGAGGCCTGGCAGCGTGGGGCTCCTGACTCCCTATGAAGAACTGGGGAGGACAACAGGTGATGACCCCTCGAATGATAAGTTTCAGCCTTCCAGGGTCAAAGGTGGGGTCTGCATTCCCCTCTCACCTTGCCAGCTTGTGCAGAGGGCGCTGAGCACAGCCCTGAGCTCTGCCTGCAGGAAAGAGGCAGCAGCGGGTATTGTAAGGAGCAACACAGGTTCCCAACCCCCAAGCGGTGATTCAGTTCCAACAGAGTGGAGCATGGCAGGCAGAGGTGCCGCGCACTGCAGTGTGGCTGCTGCATGTGACTGCAGCATGTCTGTGGCTGCAGAGCTTGCTGAGGACACAGCTAGGCCCTCTGAGGTCAAGGCTGCTGCTGGGGGAAGGGACGTATTGGAGGAGAAGACCCCTCATGGTCAGGGAAATGTGGCACCTCTCACAGCTCCGTTTTCTGACTCTCTCTTTGCCACAGAAATTCTGGCCGAGATTTTAGATTTTTGTGCAGACTGCAGAAGCTTATCTGGTTTTGCACAGGTCAGATGACTCATCTCTCGGCTTATCAATTGATCCACTCTCACATGTTGTAGCCAGCCCTCCAATGCGGCAAACGGTTGGGCAAGAGGCACAATTAAGTGGCAGGCAGCGCTTCATTCCGTCACCCTCGCAGACAAAGGGACACAACAGGTGGATGGACACAGGGTAGATCAACACGCTTGCTCTCCTCTTTTGGGGCCAGTGAGGAGAAACTGCTGCTACCAGAGAAGAGGAGCTGAAACAACAGAGCCCCTGAGGCCAAGTTGGGGGGTGGCATGAAGGGGGCTGGGGATCACTGCTTCCTTTTTATGGAGGGGAAAAACTGACTGGGTATGGTTATATGTATTTCTTTCATTTTTTCCATTTCGGGGCAGGGCCTCACTCTGTCGCCCAGGCTGGAGTGCAGAGGTGCAGTCATAGCTCACTGCTGCCTCAAACTCCTGGACTCAAGCGATCCTCTTACTTCAGCACCCCTCCCTCCTGAGACCTGCTCTTACCTCTGGGCCTTCGCACTTGCTGTTCCCATTACTTGGAACAATCTTTCCCCATTATTTCAGTACTAATTCACCTCCTGATCATTATTCAAATAGCAACTTCTCAGCAAGGCTACCTCTGAACAACAAATCTCAACTTACTGTTCCCACCCTCCTCCCTCCTGACTTTATTTTCTCCATAGCATCTCTCACCACTTGATTTTTTTTTTTTTCTTTTCTTCTGTTTTTTTGAGACAGAGTCTTGCTCTGTCACCCAAGCTGGAGTGCAGTGGCACGACCTCAGCTCACTGCAACCTCTGCCTCCTGGGTTCAAGCGATTCTCCTGCCTCAGCCTCCTGAGTAGCTGGGATTACAGGCGCGCCCCACCATGCCTGGCTAATTTTTGTATTTTTAGTAGACAGGGTTTCACCATGTTGGCCAGGCTGGTCTCAAACTCCTGACCTCAGGTGATCCACCCATCTCGGCCTCCCAAAATGCTGGGATTACAGGTGTGAGCCACCACGCCCGGCCCCACTGGACATTGTTTATCTTATTTGTTGTCTGTCTCCCTCCCCTGCCTCATAAGCTCCCCTCAAGGGTAAGAGTTCTGTTTCGTTCACTGTTGTGTTCTCAGGGCCCAGTGCAGCATCTGGTATGTAATAGGTGCTCAATAAATTTTTGTCATTGCTTGCGGTTTGCTTTCCTACATCCCAGTCCCTGACATACTGGCTCTTACATGTGAATGGGCAGGCAGAGCCATAGGAAAGCAAAGAAGTGCAGGAGAGGGTGAACAAACGAAGCAAGGGCTGGGTGCCGTGGCTCATGCCTGTAATCCCAGCAATTTGGGAGGCCGAGGTGGGCAAGCCACCTGAGGTCAGGAGTTGGAGACCAGCCTGGCCAACATGGCGAAACCCTGTCTCTACTAAAACTACAAAAAAATAGCTGGGTGTGGTGGCAGACACCTGTAATCCCAGCTACTTGGGGGGCTGAGGCAGGAGAATTGCTTGAACCCAGGAGGCGGATGTTGCAGTGAGCCAAGATCGCACCATTGCACTCCAGCTGGGGCAACAGAGCAAAACCGTCTCAAAAAAAAAAAAAAAAAAAAAAAAAAAGCCAGGTGCGGTGGTTCACGCCTGTAATCCCAGCACTCTGGGAGGCCAAGGCGGGTGGATCATGAGGTCAGGAGTTCAAGACTAGCCTGGCCAAGATGGTGAAACCCTGTCTCTACTAAAAATACAAAAAGAAAAAAAAAAACAACAACGAAGCAAGGGACGTGGAGGAGGAGGTTGGGAAATATGGGAAATTATGAGTGTGGAGAGATGATAAGGAGCAAAGCAAAAGATAAGAGATTTCTGATTAAATAACACTGAACTTGGAGAAGGACAAGTTTGTGCCAAGGAGGAAGAAAAACAAAGCAGAGAGGGGAAACTCTCCAGAAAGTTCAGGAAGTCTAACCTGAAAAAGCAGTTGAAGGTTGAGCAGAAGCCGGGGGTTTGGCTGTAGCCACAAGTGGGGCCTCTGCATGTCTCCTGAGGCTGAGCCATCGCCTGTAGAGCAAGGGGGTGGTGGATGGCGGGCCTGGGAACAGGAGGAAGAGCCTAGGAGGGGAAAAAGGAGAGGAGGAGGCACGGAGCCAAGCAGAACGCTGAGTGAGTGCCACAGAGCAGTCTAGGAAAGGGGCCACTGGGTGGTGGAGGACGCTGTAGGTGAGGGGTCAGCAGAGCCTCAGCGGGCCAGGTGGAGGCGGCAGCAGAAGGGGCGGTGGGAGGTGGGAAGGTGGTCTCTGAGGGAGAAGAGCAGGGTGGGGGTGGGAGGCAAGACACACCTCACAGGGTCCATGCAGGAAAGTGTCACTTTTGTTCCCATGTATTTCGTTTAAGTTTTTGTGCTTTTATTTTTCGGGGGTGACAGAGTTTCCCTTGTTGCCCAGACCGGAGTGCAGTGGCACAATCTCGGCTCACCGTAATCTCCGCCTCCCGGGTTCAAGCGATTCTCCTGCCTCAGCCTCCCGAGTAGCTGGGATTACAGGCATGCGCCACCATGCCCGGCTAATTTTGTTTTTAGTAGAGACAGGGTTTCTCCATGTTGGTCAGGCTGGTCTTGAACTCCCGACCTCAGGTGATCTGCCCACCTCGGCCTTCCAAAGTGTTGGGATTACAGGCGTGAGACACTGCGCCCGGCCGTTTTTGTGCTTTTATTATCCTAAAGTTTTCACATTCTTTCCCAAGGACTGTCATTCATATATACATACACACACACATATATATAATATAGAAAATCTGGAAAATTTTAATAATTTGGTCATGTTTAAGAGGATTACATTAGGGCCCAGTGTGGTGGCTCACACCCATAAACCCAGTGCTTTGGAAGGCTAATGGGGGAGGATTGCTTGAGGCCAGCAGTTCAATACCAGCCTGGGCAACATATCAAGACCCTGTCTCTACAAAAAAAAATTAGCCAGGTGCAATAGTGCACACCTGTGGCCTCAGCTACTTGGGATGCTAAGGCGGGTGGACTGCTTAAGCCCAGGAGGTTGAGGCTGCAGTGAGCTATGATCATGCCACTTCACTCCAGCCTGGGTGACAAAGTGAGACCCTGTTAAAAAGAAAAAGAAATAGGCCAGGCATGGTAGCTCATGCCTATAACCCCAACACTTTAGGAAACTGAGTCAGGAGGACTGCTTGAGTCTAGGAGTTTGAGACAAATCTGGGCAACATAGCAAGACCTCATCTCTGCTAAAATTTTAAAAAGTAGCCAGGAGTGGTGGTGCACACCTGTGATCCCAGCTACTCTGGGGGCTGAGGTGGAAGGATTCCTTGAACCCAGGAGGTCAAGGCTGCAGTGAGCCATGACTGCGCTACTCTATACCAGCTTGGGCAACAGAGCAAAACTCTGTCTTAAAATAAAGGCCAGTTGGCCGGGCACGGTGGCTCAAGCCTGTAATCCCAGCACTTTGGGAGGCCGAGATGGGTGGATCACGAGGTCAGGAGATCGAGACCATCCTGGCTAACACGGTGAAACCCCGTCTCTACTAAAAGATAGAAAAAACTAGCTGGGCGAGGTGGCGGGCGCCTGTAGTCCCAGCTACTCGGGAGGTTGAGGCAGGAGAATGGCGTAAAAACCCGGGAGGCGGAGCTTGCAGTGAGCTGAGATCCGGCCACTGCACTCCAGCCTGGGCGACAGAGCGAGACTCCATCTCAAAAAAAATAAAATAAAATAAAGGCCAGGCACAGTGGCTCATGCCTGTAATCCCAGCACTTTGGGAGGCCAAGGTGGGCAGATCACCTGAGGCCAGGAGTTCGAGATCAGCCTGGTCAACATGGAGAAACCCTGTCTCTACTAAAAATACAAACATTAGCTGGGCATGGTGGTGTGCACCTGTGCTTCCAGCTACTTGGGAGGCTGACGCTTGAGCCCAGGAGTTGGAGGTTGCAGTGAGCCGAGATTGTTCCACTGCACTCCCAGCCTGGGTGACACTGTCTCAAAAAAAAAAAAAAAAGAAAAAGAAAAGAAAAGAAAATAAAAAGAAAAAGAAAAAATAAATCAATAAAGTTAGGCATAATGGTGGCACATACCTGTAATCCCAGGTACTCAGGAGGCTGAGTGGGGAAGACTGCTTGAGTTCTGAAGTTGAGAATAGCCTGGGCAATACAGTGAGACCCCACCTCAAAAAAAAATCAATAAAGAACAGATGTTTTTAGTCACCTGACAAATAGTTCAAATTAAGAGGTGATCTATAACTAGAGATAAAGGTACTAGGATGCTTCATGAGACACTCGAGGGTTTTGGACTAGACAGTGTCTTAGACTAATCAAGGTGGTCAATCAGGATCTGTCCTCAGAACTGGAATGCAGTTAATGCAAACGAAGTTGTAAGTGAAATGGATTGTGTAACACATTCGATCTGCTGATGTGAAGTGGGTTGTGGAGTCCAGTTAAAGGAAGGCCAAGAAACAAGCATTTTTATTGTATATCCAGCTGGCCCAAAGGAGATTCTTCTTATATTTGAAAGCCACAATGCCCATTTTCTAGACATCCTCGATTTGGAGAATAGAAATTAATCCAGCTACAATAGCTGAATGGAAATATTCCTTAAACACACCTAGCTAGGTTTGTTCTAATTCTCTGCTCACTAAGCTCACTTGTGATTCTGTTCATAAGATGGCCTCTTTAAAGGGACGCCATCAAGGAAGTTCTGAACTCAGAACCGTGTCTGTGATCTGGCCAGAGAGAAATATCCTGTTGTTAACTAGCAAATGGCCATGTTTGTGTACAGATCCTTCAGTCACTCGAGCTTTTGGAAACGGCGTTTTGGTTCCTGTGGGTCTGGTCACCCCAGAGAGCGGGATAAAATCCTGTGATAAAATTCTGTACCTAGCCCCGCAAAGCCGAGGACTGATCAAGCAGCTCTGGGTTCGCCTCATCAAGGTGTTGACAACGGGGAGGTATAATCTGAAGCAGCCAGCCAGTATCTCCTTTCTGTTATCTCTTTTAGCTGCCATCAAAATGCAGTGGCCAAAATACATAAAGAAATAAAGCGGAGACCACAGTGCTATATCTGAAATTGTTTCAACAGCCCTGGCATCAGGCCACCAGCATGCATTCTTTCCAGCCTGCATTCAGTGTGAACCCATTGTCTAGGCATTCATCTTTCTGAAGGAGCAGAGGACAGAAGGCAGGATGTAAACTCTCTGGATGCTTGTGGTTCTTTTCTCCTGATAATAAGGGCAACTCTGCAAACAGCAGCAGAGGGAGTGAAGAAAAATGGCCTGGGAGGACAAACACAGGGCTCACCCTTTTTCTCTGGAAAAGTCAACCAGCTTGATTGTCCTTTCCGGGCATCAGAGCCTCTTCAACTCCATAGTTTTCCGTCTCAACACCAGAGGACCATATTTAGCCCTGTTGTTCTTTCCATCCAAAATCATTTTATTTCCTTTTGCATTATTTGATAACTATTCCCTTCCCCTCCCCACCTCCAACTGCATCTCCTACTCTGAAATGCTTCTTGAGCTGCCAAGGGTGGCCAGCTCTGCTCCTCATTTTCCTGAGGAAGAAGAATCTCAGCGTGGGAGAATATAGAGCTAGGTGACATATGGGTGGCCAGTCTCTTCTCCCCAAGTTCCAAGAGAGTGGACAATTAGTCAAATGCCATCAGTCATGTTAAAATATACTTCCACCAGCTAGACATCCTTCTCTCAAAGCTAGAGGACAGTGAAAAATGTGCAGATTAATGAGATTTGTAATTGTTTTCCTTTTTTTTTTTTTTTTTTTTTTTCCCGAGACGGAGTCTCGCTCTGTCACCCAGGCTGGAGTGCAGTGGCGCAATCTCAGCTCACTGCAACCTCCGCCTCCCGGGTTCACACCATTCTCCTGCCTCAGCCTCCCGAGTAGCTGGGACTACAGGCGTCCACCACCACGCCCGGCTAACTTTTTTGTATTTTTAGTAGAGACGGGGTTTCATTGTGTTAGCCAGGATGGTCTTGATCTCCTGACATCATGATCCGCCTGCCTCAGCCTCCCAAAGTGCTGGGATTACAGGCGTGAGCCACCGCGCCCGGCTAATTGTTTTCTCTTAACTGCACACCCTTCAGGCTGAATGCGGGAGTGCTAAACAGATGCCTTAGGAAGGGACCCTGAAGACCCAAGTGACCAGCACCATAAAGCCACCCCCAGGGTCAGCCATGCTGCCAGCACTCAAGAGGCAGCAGGGACACCTGCCAGAAGACCTGGGCATGGCTCTGGGTGCCTGGCCCTGCCTGCCTCCTCCATGTCCTTGGAGCCAGGTCTATGGCAGGACCACAATCTTCTTTTCCAGCTTCTGTGCAGGGAACAGGAAGTTTTTCATGATGTCATCCAGCTCTTCTAGGGCCAACTGGGCATGGAGCTTGGCCACGTCATCGGGCTCCAGATGCACCACGTGCTTCAGCAGGTGGTAGAGATCCTTGAGGACGGCGCTCAGCACCTGCACGAGAGAGAGAGCCATGACCACCTGTCTACTGTGCCAGCATTTCTCAGTACGACTGAACTGCCCTCTCCTCCTGCCTGAGGAGATCTGTGAGGACATCCACAGACTTCCTGAAGATAATGTGGCTGGGTGCAGTGGCTCATGCCTGTAATCCGCACTTTGGGAGGCCAAGGCAGGCGGATCACTTGAGTCCAGGAGTTTGAAACCAGCCTGGGCAATGTGGCAAAACCCCATCTCTACAAAATATACAAAAATTAGCCAGGTTTGATGGCGCATGCCTGTAGTCCCAGCTATTCAGGAGGCTGGGGTTGGGAGGATCATCTGAGCCTGGGAGGTCAAGGCTGTAATGAGCTACGATTGTGCCACTACACTCCAGCCTGGGCGGGAAAAAAGAAAAAAAAAAAAAAAGAAGATAATGAAAAAAAAGAATTGCTTGAACCCGGGAGGCGGAGGTTGCAGTGAGCAAGATCGTGCCATTGCACTTCAATGTGGGCAACAGGGCATGACTTCATCTCAAAAAAAAAAAAAAATTTGTATAATTGGCACATATGGAAATAACTTATTTTTTATAGTTGCAGAGGATGAATGTAATGCAATTTATTTACTCATCTTTCCAATGAAAGTAATTTAAATTCTTTTTTATCTTTTGCTATTGCAAATATTGCTGCAATAAACAGTTGTTTTTTTTTTTTTTTTTCCTGAGACGGAGTCTGGCTCTGTCGCCCAGGCTGGAGTGCAGTGGCACGATCTCAGCTCACTGCAAGCTCCGCCTCCTGGGTTTACGCCATTCTCCTGCCTCAGCCTCCCGAGTAGCTGGGACTACAGGCGCCCGCCACCTCGCCCGGCTAGTTTTTTGTATTTTTTAGTAGAGGCGGGGTTTCACCATGTTAGCCAGGCTGGTCTCGATCTCCTGACCTCGTGATCCACCCGTCTTGGCTTCCCAAAGTGCTGGGATTACAGGCTTGAGCCACCGCGCCCGGCCATAAACAGTTTTTTGAAGATGGGGTCCTGCTATATTGCGTAGGCTGATCTTGAACTCCTGGCCTCAAGTGATTCTCCCACCTCAGCCTCCTGAGTAGTCAAGATTAGAGGCATAAGCCACTGTGCCCAGTGCAATACGCATTCTGATACTTAAGTCATTACAGACATGTATAAGTATATCTGTAGGACAAATATCTAGAAATGGAATTTCTGGCTCAAAAGGTAATGCGCATTACAATTTTGATAGATATGGGCAGAGAGTTTCCAATAATTTACATTTTTCTCAAACACTATGAAAATTCCTGTTTCACCATATTCTTATCAGTGCCACGTACTGTAAACTCCTTATTTTTGCTAATCCAGTAGAAAAAAATAGCATTTTGCTGTTATGAATTTTCATACTTCTAACAAATATATAAACATAAATTTGTATTTTTTTCTGGTATGTATAATTCAGCTTCTCCTTAATGATTTGTAAAAACTCTTTTTTTTTTTTTAAGTCCATTATCTGTCATATGAGTTGCAAATATTTTTCTCCCAGTCGGCATTTTTTCTTTGTGAAATTTTTTATTCTAGTGAAGAAATTTCCATTTTTGATGTAGTTAAATTTATCAAATGTTTTCCTTTGTGGTTTCTGGATTTTGTATTTTGCTTAAAAGAAATAGGGCCTACAATCTTAGCCATTATACTATGCAATGTTTCTTTATTTTATTTTATTTTTATTTATTTATTTATTTTTGAGACAGTTTCGCTCTTGTTGCCTAGGCTGGAGTGCAATGCGTGATCTTGGCTCGCTGGAACCTCCACCTCCCCGGTTCAAGCAATTCTTCTGCCTCAGCCTTGGGAGTAGCTGGGATTACAGGCATGCACCACCACGCCCGGCTAATTTTGTATTTTGTATTTTTTTTTTTTTTTTTAATAGAGACAGGGTTTCGCCATGTTGGTCAGGCTGGTCTTGAGCTCCTGACCTCAGGTGATCCGCCCACCTTGGCCTCCCAAAGTGCTGGGATTACAGGCATGAGCCACTGCGCCCAGCCTATTTTTTATTTTTGAGACCAAGTCTCCCAGGCTGGAGTGCAGTAGCCAAGACAGGCAGATCACCTGAGCTCAGGAGTTCGAGACCAGCCTGGCCAACATGGCAAAACCCTGTCTCTACTAAAAATATACAAATTAGCCGGGCGTGGTGGTGGATGCCTATAATGCCAGGCTGATAGGAGAATCACTGGAACCAAGGAGGCGGAGGTTGCAGTGAGCCAAGATTGCGCCACTGCACTCCAGCATGGGTTACACAGCAAGACTCCATCTCAAAAAATAAAAATAAAAATAAAAATAAATAAAATATAGAAACATATTTAACTTAATAAACTCTAAGCAAAGAGTCTGTAAGGCCATTTAACAAGGGAAACATCTAGATCTTGCCTTTAAAAGGCTTATGGTCTAGTGGGGATGAATAAGAAGATATTCACGTAAAGACAGACAATACAGGATAGAACATGGTAAGGGTCACAGGGAGCAGAGAGAGGGTGATGAGACATCAGAGAAAAGAGAGGCCACATTTTAGGAACAGGACACTGGAGATGGTGAAGGGAAATGATGGGAAACAGTTAATCCAGCGGGTAACAAGCACATGGTCTGGGCCCAGGGTCCCCTGAACATTCCACCAAGTAGACTGTGTCAAGCACCACGCGTCTTGGACTTGCTGTAAGAAGAGAGCAAGAGCCTTTCCATCTTTTGAGATTCCTGATCAGCATGGGCACTGGGGAGTGGAGGCAGGAAGTCAGGGGAAAGGGCTACATAGAACAAGCTCCCCAGGCTGACTCTTCCCCACAGCCGACCTGCCCCTGGCTGCCTGTGCTCCAGCTGTGCTGGCCTTTTTTCTTTTCTTGCCTGAACAAAGCTCCTCTCAAGGCCTTTGCATATGCTAGTCCCTCAGCCTGGGAGGCTATTAATATTTTGCTTCCTCTTGCTAGGACTCCTATATTCTTGGCCTCCGGGATTCTTCCCCTCACCCCCGCCCCAGGTCAGTCTTCCTGCCCTTCCTGGAGTTCTGTCCGTAGCCCCTATCATGGAAACATTGGGGGGTGGGCAGGTGGTGTAAAAAAAATAATAATAAAACATAAAATAAATATTGATTGTGTACTTTAAAAAACGTTTTCCTCTCTAGATGGTAAGTACTATTGACACTGAGGCCATGTTTTGCCTTTTTTTCTTTTTTCTTTTTTGAGAAAGAGTGTTGCTTCATTGCCCAGGCTTGAGTGCGGTGGCTCTATCTCAGCTCACTGCAAACCTCCGCCTCCTGGGTTCAAGCGATTCTCTTGCCTCAGCCTCCCGAGTAGCTGGGATCACAGGCACGTGCCACCACGCCTGGCTAATTTTTGTATTTTTAGTAAAGACAGGGTTTCACTGTGTTAGCCAGGATGGTCTCAAGCTCCTGACCTGAAGTGATCCACCCACCTTGGCCTCCCAAAGTGCTGGGATTACAGGCGTGAGCCACCATGCCTGGCGGCCTTGCCTTTTTCACTCTGGTATAACCCCAATGCCTCAGAAAGTGACTGGTACATTGCTCATACCTAAAAAAAAATATGAATGAATAAAGACATTCATGCGTGCTACTTCTGGCTAGTCTCTCACTTGGTAAAAGCAGAAACTCCTAAGAATGTCGACTGAAACACTGCCAGACAACCAAGGCCGGCTTCATGGGTATGCGAACTGCAGTCACACAAGGTCCCATGCTCAAGACAGCCAGGTTTGCTTGGTCTAATGATCTGCTGTTGCCATCCTAAAATTCTTCCAGCCTGGATAACATAGCAAGACCTCATCTCTACTAAAAAAAAAAAAGTCAGCCAGGCATGGTGGCACACGCCTGCAGTCTAGGGTGTGGAGGCTAGGCCTGGAGGATCCCTAGAGCTCAGGAGTTTGTGACCGCAGTGAACTATGATCGTGCAACTGCACTCTAGCCTGGGAGACAGAGTGAGACCCCCGTCTCAAAAAAAAAAATCATAATAATCTTATTTTTGAACTTTTTTTTTTTTTGAGACAGTCTTGCTCTGTCGCCCAGGCTGGAGTGCAATGGCGCGATCTTGGCTTACTGAAACCTCTGCCTCCTGTGTTCAAGCGATTCTCCTGCCTCAGCCTCCTGTGAACTTGTGTTTTGTAAATGAAGTCCAATGGGACAGGGAGCATGAATGTCAGTGGAGGAGGTAAGATTGTGTCCACTCCTCTTAGCCAGAGCATTTGCATCTGGAGTTCACTGTGCCCCATAAGCACAGGATTCTGGTGGTCGCATTTGAACCAGAGCAACTCCATTTTGAGTGAGGGCTGGGAAAATGAGGCTGAGACTTGCTGGGCTGCATTCCCAGAAAGTTAGGTATTCCTAACCTCTAGATGTTTATGGTTAAGGGAATAAATTAATAATGTTTACTAAACAGACTCAGACTTAGGAGTGTCCAGATATCCCGATACCTGGAGAACAAAGACATTTTTAATTTTGCTTTAAAGATAATAATATTGATTCTTGCAAAATACAGTAATTAAGAAATTTAGGCCGGGCGCGGTGGCTCAAGCCTGTAATCCCAGCACTTTGGGAGGCCGAGACGGGCGGATCACGAGGTCAGGAGATCGAGACCATCCTGGCTAACATGGTGAAACCCCGTCTCTACTAAAAATACAAAAAATTAGCCGGGCGAGGTGGCGGGCGCCTGTAGTCCCAACTACTCGGGAGGCTGAGGCAGGAGAATGGCGTGAACCCGGGAGGCGGAGCTTGCAGTGAGCTGAGATCCGGCCATTGCACTCCAGCCTGGGCAGCAGAGCGAGACTCCGTCTCAAAAAAAAAAAAAAAAAAAGAAAATTAATCCTTTATCACAAGCCCTTGAAGCGGAGTACCTCTCCCCATATATACGAGTATTGTATCTAGGGCGGACGCGTTCCTCCTCTTAGTTTCGGGAATGTCCTACTCTGTCTATGGAGTAGCTGTTCTTTCACTACTTTGCTCTCTTAATAAATTTGCTTTACTTTGC